GCAAGCTCTGGAGATTTGCCTGATCTCCCTTGCCTATCAAGTGGTGAGATTACAGAGGTACTCTTCCACTTGGCTTTTACATGTATGTTACAGATCCCAACTCAAGTCTTCATGTTTACACAGTTGGTACTTTACTCATTGAGCCATATGCAAAACCTCTAGCAGTGCCATTTAACACAAGTGAACATTTTTAAGTGAGGGATGAAGGAGTTTATTTTGCTATTCTAAAAAGTGGAAAGGGCTAAATGATGTTTTCCTCTCCACCACCACTTGAGAGTATCATTTTTAGAGCACCTTTATCTCTAGCCTGACCTACAGCCATGTGAGACAAGGGTCAATCCTGATGTTCACTACAGCTAGAACACCAGTTAAAAGTGATTTGCTTTTGCCCAGTCTATTGTGGAATCTAGTATGGCCTGTGCCTTTGGTCCTGCTGAGACCAAAGCCTTGTTAAAAATGTGTGGGTCTCCATGAAGCCCTCCTATACCAGGGTTTCCAGGAAATCTGGATAGAAATGAGACTAATGAACTTTATCCTTTATAAAATTAGGAGTGCTGATAAAAAAGTAAAGTTTTGAAAGGCTCCAGCCCAGCTCTGGACCATGGTCATCACTAACCACTCCCTGATTCCACTGAAGATGAATCATGTTGGCTAAAAATAAGCAAACTGTGTTAGGTGGGAACATGAAACAACACTGTACACTTATCTAGTACTATTTACAATATGATATTAAATATCTAAGAAGCAACATCCTACCCCACCCCCCAAAAAGAAAAATAGTACTTGTTTTAAAATCTGGCACTTTGAATTCTGGCTCTGTTAACTTGAAGTTGTGACTAAGGACAAGTTAAAAATCACTTAAACTCACTGCATTTTGGAATTCTGCAAAAGACAGATAATATCTTCCTTTTTAACTATTAAAAACATGACATGATCAATACAAAGTACCTAATAAGGTGCTTGGCACAGTGAGTGCAGGATGAACAGTAGCACTAGGCATTACTGGGTTATCTGAGAACTAATTAGCCTAGAGCTCCAAATCCTTTATATATCAGCATGCACTAAAATGTGATCACAAACAAATAGGCGCTTTGATTCAAGTCTTGATCCCTCCTTGAAAGTGTCTTTCACTGGTTGAGTTCTTCTGTGTTCAGGGTACAGGGAAATGTACCAAAATGACTCTAGGGTACTTACCACCGCCTCGACAGGCGTTCCTTAATTCCTCAAACATTAGCTTTTCCAGAGCATCATTCACATAAAACACTCCTTCAACCTAATACAAAAGAAAAGCAAAGCATTACCTGAACCCCAAAATCCACCAAGTACAGGCACACTGGGTAGAATGTATGTACTGTATGTAGTGTTTACATTGCCTTACTTTGCATGAAACTACCACATTACTTCTGATAAGAGAAAACCTTCCAATCACAAATTAAAAAGATTTTAGAGAACTTCAGATCTGGGTTTTAATTAGGAATGTTCTATCAGTAAAACCTAAGCAACTATCTCCAAATTTGAAAAAAACTTAAACAAATTCCCAAGGAGGTACATCTACCATGATTTTGCTATTATACAACTTACACATTTTATATACTAATATAAATTATATATTTAGCTATATAAATATAAACACATGGTGTCCTAAATAATGTAGAATTTTCATTTGTCACTTAAAAAATTGGCAAGTGAATGTACTAACCAACTTCCTCTTCTTCCAGAAAACAAAGGGAAAATAGGAACTTTTTACTATGTCAAAGGATTGCAAACCTTTACTGCATTTTCACGGCACTTAAGGCACCAAGTCACTTTCCACACGATCCAAAACCTCCTAAGTGCTCTCTTCTACTACTTTAGTGGAGCCTATAGAGACAGGCTCAGGGTTTCAGGCCCTGGTCTTCAGCTCCAACACATTATCCAAGCAGAGAAAAAGAAATGGGCTGGTTATGAAAGCAGGCCTGTCCTCTCAGATGGGTCACCAACTGATCCTGAGGTCCTTCGCCAAGAGCACATTAAAAACCTATATCTTGTCGATTGTCAGTACGTTAAAAGCCAATTAAGTTTGGGGAATTTCATCTGTAAACATTATCTAAAGAACTACCATGACTAAAGAGGAACGGAGTTCCAGGCTAGCAGCGCCAGCTTCTAAGTCCACACTAATCTCGGACCAGGAACAAAACATGTCTCATGGTGCATGGGTGAAACATGCGAGAACCGCCCCGCTACGTCTGTCCTCGTGTGTGTGGACCTGGCCCGCGGAGACTGTCGGTCCGAGCTGGGGAGGGAGACACGCAACCCTGTAGGGATTTGCCCAGCTAGCGGCGGACGGAGGAGGCCGCTCGAGGCTGCACCGCGGCCCGCAGCCCCGAAGGCCGCCGCCCCCACTCACCTGCATGTTGGGCACAAAGCCCTTCTTGATCCTCCAACAATTCTTATTGATCTTGTCCAAGAACTGCAGCTCATCGTTGTAGCTGCGACTCATGGTAGCGGCAAAGACGGCTTAGCTCCCGACTACCCTTAGAAAGAGAAACCGCCGCGCGGTCCACCCGCTCCTCGCAGGATCGCCTCTCAGGGCGCAGGCGCGAGCGGCTCCGCCCCAGGAGGAAGATGGCAAGCGCCGAGGCTCAAAACTTCGGGCAAGTCTTGTTCGTTTCTTTATAATGCTTTCCATTGGACTACAGATAAATCAAATCGTTTTTAGTGATGTCTGGCTAAACTACCCTTCTCGTAGATTTTTTCTTTTTTTTTTTTAAAGGTCTCGCTATTTAGCTTGGAGCTTGCCTTGTATCCAGGCTGGCCTTTAACTCTTAAGAGATCCACTTACCTGTAGCTCCAGGCAGCTGTGTTTAAAGACATGCTTGGGAATATTTTGAGCAGCTCCTGGAAACCCTTGGATCTGGATTAGATCAACTGCTCTAGAGAATATATAGCTTGGCGTTCCCAGCCCCATGAGTGAAGCAGCTAGCAAGATAAAATAATGGACAATGTATTTGACATTTGTAATGTTTCAAAATGAAATAGAAGAGAAACAACTGTTGCTATTATGTTCTTGTGGAATGTATACAATTTACCCTTGTTCATTCACATGCTGATTTCTCTCCCCACTGTCTGGTTTCAATCCCCGACATTGCATTGTGATGTTTATTCTAAGCATCACCTGGCTCAAGTTTGTGTAAACATGCCACCATTTGTTCTTTGTAGTTTCAATTAAACAACCAGCCAATTTTCCGCAATGGAGAGACTAGGGTGGGACATCCTGGTCCGTAGGGGAGGAGAGGAGAAAAAAGCGAGTGGGAGGAGTCAGAGAGCAGAGATCCAACAAGACAGGAGTTGAAACCTTGAGGGGAGATGAACCCGACCTAAGATATGACTAAACGCAAGTATAATGTGGGAAATCCGAATGGGAGGAAACTATGCAAGCACGGAGGTTTAGGATGGAGTAACTATTGCCCAGCATTGTGCTATAGGTTAATTAAATACATCCTAGTCTCTGTGTGGTGATTTGGGCATACAGCTGGCTTAGGAATAACCACTGTTTAACTAAAAGATAAATCAATAATAAATATTTATATTCAACAACATAAAACATTTTTTTTTGTTGTTGTTGTTACCAAAAGAGCATTTCAAAGAAACCTATCTACAAATACTTATGAAGGAATCTGGTATGGCCTACAATGCCCTGCAAAGATGCAGTTGTTGTAGACCATTGAGGTTTCTTAGCCCAGGTTTGTTTGGAGTAAGCCCTCTTTAAACAGTTGACACTTTTTTTTTTTAAAGGATTTTGTTTGTTTTCCTTTTTTTAAAGTGATTTATTTATTTTTATTTTATGTGCATTGGCGTTTTGCCTGCATGTATGTCTGGGTGAGGCTGGATCCCTGGAACTGTGAGCTGGGAACTGAACCCCCGTCCTCTGGACGGGCAGCCAGTGCTATTAACTGCTGAGCCATCTCTCCTATCCTTTGCAGTTGGGATAAGAGAGCGTGCAGTGATTTGTTTCTAGTTCTATCCTGTGAAGAACAGCACAGTAGCAATCAGGAAGACTTGGACTCATTTTCCACCTATGTCAGTACCATACTTTGTGTGATAAATTCCTCTGACCTTCTGTTTTCTCATTGATGAAATGGAAACATGATTCTTCACAGAGTGGCTGTGAAGGTCACAGGAATGAGACTGAAGAAGTACCCAGACCGGTTCTCTTCAATCCCCCCCGCCCCCCACAAATCTATGCAGTGCATAAAGAGAGGATATGGTTTCTGTTCATTTCTATATATCTGTCCCAGCATCCTATCCTCCTATTCCCCTTTCCAGTTTTACCCAGCTGATTAATAACATGAATGCCAACTGTGAACTGCCTAGGTTTAGTAAGCTGCACTGCCATTTCATTCGATCTTTGAAAGGACACATCCTCAAACAAATGACACAGGATGACCACAGGAAGACTTAAGAATAAGAGGCTCTTAGCTGATTTTTAATATTGGTATTTGTAGAACATCGTTCTTTGCCGAAGTTTAAAAAATAATTATTTTCTATTTTCTGTCATTTTATTAAAACAAATTTAGGATAGGAACTTTCACACACAGAGACTGACATTGATAGAAAACAATTTTAATTAAGCAAAGGAACTGTCCTTTGCTTAAACAGTAAACATAAAACACAAAATCCAACTAAAGAAGAAAGTCTCTTAAAAGTAGACATGGGCTTCACACACACACACACACACACACACACACACACACACACACACACACAAATTTTCCAATGCAAATACAGACAAATTCTTTACCCACCTGGTCTGCATGCTTCCCTCTTACCCACAAATTATAAACACAGGCATACAGCATGCTCACCTACACATATCCCGTTCCCACTGCCTTGTCCCTGTTCAGCCTTTTAACTCAGCTGGCCTCATTCGAGGTCTTCTAGAGCTCAAAAAAAAAAAAAAAATTTCATAAGGGCTTTAATATCCAGGATGCATGGCTTTCATCTTCCAGGTTTACAGTGTCTGTGGGACTGAAGGTGCCTGGGTAGATTGTGAACAAGGAATCAATGGTTTGGCTGTCCTCTCCATGGTCCATTTACCAGGTTCAGACCCCCCCAACTGTGGCGATTTGGCTGTTGTTTTGAGGATGTTTCATGTGTCAAGTCAGTAGAAATCAGAAGGAAACCCTGAAAAGGATGCCAAATGAAAATAATTTTAAATTAAGGACATATCTGAGTTTGCCTGAGGGGAAGAAAGTTTCTTTGCCAGGCCCTAAGCCATCAAGACTTTTCCAGCCTCTGTGAGGGCCCCTGATGAAGGAAGGGGTTATTTTGGATCACTGTCCCTAGATAAAACTTAGGTCGTGGGGAGTGGAGAAGAGGGAGGCTGGGAGGTAAGAGGAGATGTGGAGGTATGTAGGTGGGGGACACTTTCTGAAACATATTCCTACTTTCCCAAGCTACAACAACAAAATGCAGAAAAGAAGGGGTGGTGGTATTGTGAAGTTAGTTAATAAGATTCTCCTAGGAAACAGCTTTCCATAGATCACAATCCTGAGAATGGTCTTCAGGGAAAAGTTCATTGGCTGAAAGTTTCAAAGAGCCAGTCATTTGGGTTCTTAGCTGTCTGTGGCTTCCATGCAAAATATCCCCCAGCCTCAATGTGTTTGGAAACTTGGTTATCACTTCATGACACTGCTTTGAAAAATTGTGGAACGTATGAGGTAAAATCTTGCTGAAGGATGTAGGTCTCTGACATATGTCAATGTTTTATGGCTTAGTCTATTTCCTGTCCACTGCTTCCTGACTTCTATGAAAGATGATGATGTACCTCATGTTTCTATTGCCAGACCTTTCCCTGCTGTGGTGGACTATATCCTTTTGTACTATAAACCAAAAGAAACTCTTTCTATTTTACGTTGTATCCCATTAGGCATTTAGTCACAGCAACAAGAGAAGTAACTAATATACCATCCATCTTTTTTTCTACATAAGACACTAAACTTTTTAGGGTCTAGTTTCCTCATTCATAAAATGAGATTCATAATCCAAGCCCTACAGCGTGTGTGGTGAAATAAAATACTTTAAAATTATTTCCTTACACTGTGGAATGATTAAATGTGATTTCAAAGTGAAATTAGACTCAATCTGACTTTAAAATTTTTCATTGTTAATTATAAGCTTTAATAGCTGGATTTTTTTGTTGTTGTTGTTTATAAAACTCGTTGGGCTGGTAAAAGTCAAAAAAGCAAAGTAAAACACAGTGAGGGGAAGGAAGATGGCTTTATGGATAAGAGAACTGCTCTTTACAGAGGACCTGGGATTGGTTTCCAGCATCTACACTGTGTGATCCACGATTGCCTCTAACTACAGTTCCAGGGGGTCTCATGTGGCACCAGCATAAATGTGGCTCATGCACACACATATACATATGAAATAAAATAAATAAAACTTAAAAAAACAAGCAGTGAACAAAAAAGGAAGCTTGTTCTACCATGAAGATAAGTAGTGAAGAAGAAATTCAGAACCTTACCTCAAGCACTTCAATATCAGAATTGATGAAGGAGATGTTGTAGGGGTTGGGAAGAGGAAATCCTTGCTGTAATTTTGCTACAATGTAGAAAAAAAGGTGTTAGGTAATTAACTGGGCTTGGGCACAGACTTTTTGGCAGATGTTTCAGAAAGAGATGAACTAGAGGCTTCTTAATACTTTATCTTATCATTGTTACTGGTCTTGTTTTAATCCAAACCAATATGTCCCTACCATTTTGCTGGACAAATTAGTAAATAATTTACGCTCAATAGAAATGTACCTGTAATTATGTATATTTGGATACTAAAACAAAACACTTTCCATTTTTTCCCACTTAAGTATTAACCATGCTTGACTATGCTTTTCATTTTCTACATATTTATAATATATATGTGTTGAGTAGGGGTGTGTTTTGTATGTGTGTATGTGTGTGTATATGTGTGCATGTACATGTGTGTGGAGGTCAGAAGATAACCTCAGTGCCATTCCTCACTTCCATCCACTACCTTGGTTTGCTGTTGTGACTTTTGAGATGGGGTCTCTCACTGACCTAGAACTCTCAAGTAGGACAGGCTGGCCAGTGATAAACCTGTCTCTGCTTCCATCAACACTGAGATTGTATGCATGTACCACCATGTCCAGTATTTTTAAAAAAATGGGTTCTGGAAGAATGAATTCAGGTCTTTTTGCTTTCAAGGCAAGCATTTTGCCAACTTAACTGTCAATCAGGCCCCCTATTTATGTTTTGGAAATTCCCCATTAGTTGGCCTGGGAACATTTTATGCCTAATATAAAAATATTTTAACTGGGAGAATAATATTATTCCTAGTTGACCCGAAGGAGACTTTACTGTCTAAGGACAGAAGTTTTATGTCTTTAACTCAAGTCAGGTTAGCCTTTCTTGCTGAATTTGAAATACTGCTGCTAACAAGCATGAAACCGGTTTCTTATCCTCTTAATGGTGTACGCTGCAAAGTTCTGGCTCTGACCTACATTCACAATGATATTCTAAACATACAGGCATCAGGGTAGAAAGGTCCAAACAAAACCTAAACTGTAACCAATACCACAGTCCAATAATTTTCTAAGACTTCCTTACTGTTAGCCAGTGGAAGGACTCCAAAGTGAAGAATGGAAGACAGAATATTCTCAAATCTCACCACCTAAAATGAAAAATCAGACTATATCAGTTGCCAAATCAAGGCTCCTTGAAAGAAACATGCCTGGCTCAGGTGTGCAAGTCCCCAGAACTCAGCTGGATAGAAAGCTACAACCAGAGTTTTCTGGGAGGGACATACATGCTTTGTGGAAAGTCATGCCACACAGGTTCTTTTCTCCCTGGAGGGAGACATTTCTGTTTCTTCTATAATGGTGATAATGAACAGAGACCCAGGATAGTAGCCAATGTAGTAGTTTATATACAGACCAGGTAAAACTTAGGAGGGTGAAGAGGTTTCCCATTACCGGTTTTTCCTGTGTTTACTGGGAACCTCAGCCACAGGCCCTCCCTTTGCATTGCATCATACTCTGAATCTAATGTCATCACTAGAACACCACTTTACCTTCAATAAACTCTAGTGTTTGAATATTATAGGCAGTGTTCCTTTCTGAAAAGATCCAGGTATTAAATGTAAATGGAGGTTAAAGAGGTGGCTCATTGGTTAAGAGCACATATTGCTCTTGCAGAGTACAGGTGTTCAATTCATATTATCCACATCAGGTAGCTCACAACTCCCTGTAGTTCCAGCTCCAGGGGATCTGATAACCCTCTTCTGAACTTTGTGAGTACAATCCTCACACATGCACATAAACACACACACACACACACACACACACACACACACACACACACACACA